CTAACAAACTGTTAAAAACTTGGTAGACACTTGTATTATAATTTTGCTGGATGGAAATCTCAAACTCCTAATATGCTTGATTCTATGTTGAAAGTCAACTAACACAAGATAATGAGGAAATGAGTTCTTCATAATTTAAATACTGGAGGAAATTACTTTGAGGGGCTAATTTAGAAAAACAAAGATAGAGAATGATCAAGAACAAAAGGGGAGAACTACTACAATGACTTAATAAGGCTGGATGAACATTTTGATTCTTTGGCATCCTCGTCAAGAAATAGCTTAGTCTAGTGTCACTTTAGTGTTAATATAAGAGTTAAAAAGTAAATTTAAGATTAGGTTTTGAGAGAAATAGAAAGAAGAAGACGAAAGAGAGATTGAGAGATATAATATGTGTGTATATGTGTTGTCCTACACCTCTTATTTATATTAAACAAATATCTCTGGTCATTGCTATATTACCCTAAACTAGCTTATGTTCATAAACATAAATATAGAAACATAAAGATAAAAGATGTCTAGTTTTGAACAAAGATTATTGAAGGTAGGCCGAGACAATAGTTTGGTAAAGATATCACCTAGTTGATCGCCAGATTTGATATATGGAGTGGTAATCTCGTTCCACATTAGAAGATGCAAACAAAAATGAAAATCCACTTCTATGTGCTTGGTGCGCTAATGAAATACCGGATTACTGACAATGAAAATAGCTACCTGATTATCACAATGTATCTGCATATAAGATAGGGCACACTAATACCCATATCACAAAGGAGAGAACGTACCCAAAACATTTCACATGCAGTGTGAACCATAGCCCAATACTCCGCCTATGCACTTCAACGTGCAACTACCTTTTGTTTCTTGTTATTCCAAGTAACAATGTTACCACTAACAAACCTGCAATAACCATAAGTAGATCTTCTATCAATACGACTACTTGTCCAAGCATCAAAAAAGTCAATAATAGTCATACATGATGAAGAACGATATAATAATCCCTTCCTAGGTGCTTCTTTGAGATACCAAAGAATGCGATAGGTAGTCTCCCAATGAGGTTTGCGAGGAGCATGCACAAACTGACTAATCACTTCAACTGCGAATGTAATATTAGGACGGGTATCTGTGAGATATATGAGCTTACCAACCAACCTTCTATAGCGCCTTATGTCATAAAAAACGTCCTCACTCTCAACATCTAACTTGACTATAGAATCCATAGAAGTATTGACCGAGCGTATCAATTTTGGACAATATATCCAATACATACTTTTGTTGATATATATTGATACCTTCCTTTAATCGACAATATCAGTCCCAAAAAAGTACCGAAAAAGACCTAAATCTTTAGTATGAAACTGTTTCCCCAAATAGACCTTAAAGTTGGCAATACCATCAGAATTATCATCACTAATGACGATATCATCAACATACACAATGAGAATTATAACCCCTCTGCTATCAGAATGAACCCTAAATGATCTGAAGTAGAGCACTAAAAATCATACTGAATAGCCATAGTACTAAACTTATCAAACCAAATATGTTGTGACCGTTTCAAACTATAGTGTTTTCTTCAAGGGACATACTAAATGTTCCTTACCAAAAATAACATAACTTGGAGGTTGAACCATGTACACCTCCTCCAGTAAATCTCCATGTAAAAAAACATTATTTATTTGTAGCTTGTACAAAGGCCAATTAAGAAAAGTTGCAACAGAAATAAGAACTCTAATAGAGTTAAGTCGAGTAACATGGGAAAAAGTCTCACAGTAATCGACACTATATGTTTGAGTGTAGCCTTTGGCAACCAATCGGGCCTTTAAACACTCTATAGGGTCATTAGGATTATGTTTCACAGTGTAGACCCAAACGACAACAAACTGGCTGGTTCTCAGGAGGGAGAGAATTAAGATCACAAGTCTGATTCTCATGAAGAGCATTAATTTCATTATCCATAACCAATTTCCATCCAGGAGATGCCAATGTCTGTGCTAAAGAACTAGGAACAACTAAAGATGGCAAGGTAGATGCAAAGCAATGAAACAATGAGGAGAACTAACGCAAGAAAAAAAAAATTAAAAATAGGATGTCGGGTAAAATTACGAGTACCTTTCTTTAATGCAATAGGAAGTCCAAAGAGGAGGAAGCACCAAGAGTCTTTAAAGGAAGGACCTCAGTAGAATCAAGTGAGGGTTGTGGACTAGGAGCATAGGGCACAACCTATCTGTTATCAGAACACTGATAAACCAGCAATGAGGGGTTTGTTGATGAAGAAACAGGGACACAATTTGGACTAATAGGTAATAATAACTCTCCTTGACTAGAAGAAACCAAATCAGGAAAAGAAGTACGTCCTAAAGCTGGAAAAAAAGGAAAGGACTTAAAAAATGTGACATTAGCACTGACGTAATATCAATGAGAGCTTCGGTCATAACATCGATAACCTTTCTGAGTATGAGAATATCCCAGAAGTACACACTTGATCGACATATACGTTTATCCCGACCCGAGCCAAGAAGATGAACAAAGGCAAAGCAACCAAAGGCATGATGGGCCAAACCAAATGAAGGTGTAATAAGATAGAGTAACGAGAAGGAAAATTTGTTACCTAAGATAGAGGACGACATCTAATTAATAAGATAAATGGAAGTAAGAACAACATCAATCCAATAGTGCTTGGGAAGATGTATATTAAACATTAAAGTACAAGCTACAGCCAAAATATGACTAAGCTTACGTTTGGCTGTACCATATTGCTGGGAGTATGGGGGTAAGAAGTTTGATGAATGATGTCATGGTCAGCACAAAACGAATGCATACATGATTGACCATGTTTAAGAGCATTGTCAGAACGAAATATTTTAATGCGTTTATCAAATTGCACTAGAATTTTATTTTAGAACGTAACAAAGATCTTAGGTAATTCAGAATAATTTTTCATAAGAAACAACCAAGTCATTCAAGAGAAATCATCCACAAAGATAACAATGTACTGAAATCCATAAATACTCTTTATTCTTGGAGGACCCCAAATATCTAAATGAACAAGATTAAAAGGATTAGACTCACGACTATTATTACTACTAATTGACAAGTCTCACATTCTATCATAAACGAAAGATTCAAACTAGAAAGAACTTGACGAAATTTCTGCAAAAAAGGATGCCCCAATTGGAAATGCCACTGGGGAGGAGAGACTGTAGCACTCAAGGCAAGTACTGATTCTCTAGAATCCAAAATAAAGATCATTCTGCTCATGCCCCAAATCAATCACTTTCTTCGTCTAGAGGTCCTGAAAAACACAAGAAGATGGAGAAAATGTCATACAACTTTGTAAAGACTTAGTTAGTTGATTAACAGATAACAAGTTAAAAAGAAAATGGGGAACAAACAAACCAAAGGTTAAGGATATGGATTTAGTGGGATGGAGATAACCAGATCTGCATACTGGGCAAGAGGACCCATCAACCAATACAATACAAAAGTTAGAAGGTTGAAAATTAGAAAATACAGAGGAAATACCAGACATGTGAGCACTGGCTCCCGAATCAATGATCCAAGAAGGTGAAGCTGATTGGGTTGCCACATATGTAGAATTACCTGCATGAGCCAATCCTGCAACAAACATAGATCCCTGGGAAGATAGTAAGGATAACTGTCGGATGAGTTGACTAAACTAAGAAGTGAGCTCAATATGAGATCCAAGTGTGAATGGAACAGGTCCACCAGTTAAAGGCTGAGATACAAGTGGGGTTAAGTCATCTAAAACCTAATTAGCATAAGTTGGTCTCCCATGTTTATCTCAGCAATAATCCTCAATATGTCTAGTGGCTCCATAGTAAGAACAATTTCACTCTGAACGATTGCCATGTCCAACACATCCTACACGACCATAGCCTCTATTACCACGACTATCACTACTACGACCACCGTTACGTCCACCTCCATGACCACCACGATTACTGTCACTAGAAAATAACGTAGAGGATTCTTGTGAGAGATAAGGAGTCCCTCGAGTCAGTGAGGCTCCCTAAAGATGGGAGTAAGCATTTACAACAGTTCAAAATTTCTCACTAGCTAATTTTTAAACACATTATATTCAGAATTAAGGCTAGACAAGAATAGAGAAACCTGAAACTCTTTACATTGTCGTGTTGTATCTCGAGATCTGCACTTAAAGGTTGATATAACAAAAGTTCCTCCCACAACCCTTTCAAAGTGTCATAATGTTCAACTAGGGATTTATTGCCTTGCTTGGTGAAAAACATACACTCAAAAAGTTCATAAAATTGGGACACGTGTTCTTGCGAATACATCTTTCCTCAAGAGAGTCCCATATCTTCTTGACAACATCAAGGAGTTGTATACTAAAGGCGACAACAGGTTCCTTATTTAGCCACAACCAAGTCATCACCAATGAATTCTCACTCGACCAATCTTTAGAATTTTAAAACTCCCTAGAAGGAGGACTCTCCATCAAATACTTAACTTTCTTCTTGGCTCGCAGAAAAACTTTAACAGCATAGGACCAAAAGTAATAGCTAGTCTCATTCAGTTTGACAAAAGTAATATGTCGAACTTGATCATCTACTGAATGAACTTACATGACCTGATCGTCCACTGAAGCATCCTTCACATCATCTGAAGTCACCATGGAAACAAATAAATAATCCATAAACAACCACAAACACAATCGACTACAATACAACCACACTAAAAGAAGGAACCCTCTAAATACACAACCCGCGTGAAAAAAAAAAAGAGCACAAATCATTGCTCAGGATCTCCACCGACCACTTTTCAATGGTTCTTCAACCAGATCCAACTATCCAACACAACAATCTCAAAACAATCCTCTATTCATCTAGTCAGACTTATCTATAAAGGATTGAAGCCACCAATCTCAAGAAAAAACTACAAATCTTTAGATCTGGAAAAAAATCCTTATTTTTTGCAAAAATTATTCAAAAATAGAAAACTTCATCCAAATGACTTCAAAAAATCAAACAAAAAATACCAGTCTTCAGCATGAAAAAAACGAGCCAAGTAGTGGATAATATTACCCTACACTAGCTTATACCAATCCACCTGCAAATCAAATGCATTAATAAGCAGCCTCATTCTCTCCCAACTACAAGCTCAATAAATCACATGATAAATTTAGTTCACTATAATATGCGCAAAGTCTATGTGTCATACTTTCTTGAAAAATGTCATGCCCGCATGTCCATGTCGTGTTGTATATGTACCTTGTGTTCATATCCATGTTTTGTAATTAGGCTCCATTACTTGCTCCAGATAAATTACAACTAGAACGATCACCAGGTATGAGCTGCTACCAGTTGCTCCTATACAGCAACCAATCTAATAACCACCTTCATCTACAATAAGAACATATCAGAAGGATTCCTACTTATCTGTTACAATGTGAACATGATACATGCATATACAAATCTCTTCCTGCTTTACATGTTCTCATATAAGCTTCAACCTCTGGCAACTGTGTGTGCGCGCGCGCGTGTGTGTGTGTGAGCGAGAGAGAGAGAGAGATGGTGTCCGGTCGTGAAAATAATACTCCTGCTGAGATTGAAATCATGAAATAAACATTACAAGTTAAAACCCTTGAATTTCCAGAGTTCATGTTAGTTACCTTTTACATGTGCTGAGCATTGGCAGCTTTGTCACTTTGGCATGCTCTTAGTAAATCATGGTTCAATCTCGTATTTACGAAGTCTATGCAAACGACCAGGATTAATCTCTGGTTTTCTTACATTGGCTTGATGCAATCTATCTCGGTAAACATTTTTTCCATGAAAGGAGAACTAATCCAAGGCAGCAGATAAAATGAAACATAGAACCATCAATGACACACGGCAGTCTTATTACCAGAATTCCCTGCAGGAGCAAAATCCAGTACTAAAATGGTGAAACCGATTGGTATCCCTAACAATGATTTCCCTCCCCGTAATCCTTGAAGCAAGCTTCATAAAAGAGTGGCAATCCCCACAGATTCTGAGATTCTTCATAATCCTTATAGGTGCACTAGAGGGCAAGCACATCAGCCCAAAAGTAAGAGCGAGCTTCTCACTATGATGCTTCAGCAATTCCTGTTTCCGGTTCTCTTCCACATCATGTAGGTCATGATCAGTCTCACCCTTGTAACCCAACTTCTTCATTTCTTCTAGAAAATCCTCCAATCTTGAATAAATCTCAGTAACTCTAGGATGGCTTCTCTCACCAACCATAAATACGTGAACCTCATCCTTAATTTCAATCCAACTCTTGCCCCTCTCCTTCTTTGCTTCACTGCCTTTGAGAAGCTTTCTTGCCTGTGCAACTTCCTCCCACTTTTTATTTGCAGCATATATATTCGAAAGCAAGACATGGTTTCCTGCATTTTTAGGTTCAAGTTCAAACAAATGCTTGGCAGCAATCTCAGCCAACTCAACATTTCCATGGACCCTGCAGGACGCCAAAAGCGATCCCCACATAGAAGCTGTGGCATCAAATGGCATTTCGTCCATCAAATTCTTAGCTTCATGAATCAGCCCCGTCCGACCTAGAAGATCAACCATGCATGAATAGTGAAAGACGTTACGTGACACATTATGCTCTTTCATCATAATTTCGAAATATTTACGCCCTCGTCCTACCAGACCCATATGTCCACAAGCAGATAACACAGAAATATAAGTTACTTCATTTGGGCGCATGCCAATCTGCTGCATTTTCTCAAATGATATCATCGCCTCTATAGATCGAACATGTCTAGAAAAGCCAGAAATCATTGCATTCCATAAGACTATATTCTTCTCTTCTGCCCTGGAAAACACATAGTACGCCTCCCTAATGCTTCCACCTTTTGCATACATATCTACAAGCGAGGAAACCACAAAAAGGTTTGCTTGAAAACCAGCTTTATACACTACTGCGTGTACCTGTTTTCCTTCAATCAAAGCAGCCAAGGCTGCACAAGCAGCGAGAATAGAAGAAATAATAAATTGGTCAGGTTCCATTCCACCTACTTGTGATCTGCGAAACAATAGCAATGCCTCCTCAAAAAGTTCATTTTGCACATACCCCGCCACCATTGAACTCCAAGTGACGACACTCCTCTCTGGCATGCACTCAAACACCAGAATAGCATCCTTAACAATATTGCATTTTGCATATACATCAAGCAAAGCAGTACTCACAAACACATTTGCGACCATTGATGTCTTAAGAGCAAAACCATGCAATTGTTTACACTCAAACACTGCACACTTGGCAGCACAAGCGCAAAGCACACTTGAAAGTGTGAACTCACTGAACTGGGTTCCTTCTTTCTGCATTTGAATGAAAAGATTGAGAGCCGCTTCTTTATTCCCATTTTGGGTATAAGAACCAACAATGGTATTCCATGACACTAAGTTTCTTTGAGGCATTCTATCAAATATTTTACGAGCATAGTCAACCAGACCACATTTTGAATACACGTTGATGAGCATATTGGATGCCAAAGTATCTTCTTGTAATCCAAAATGAAGAGTCTGGGCATGGCAAGCCTTCCCTTCCATGACTCCTCTGTGTCGTGCACATTCCTGTAAGTGTTCTTGCAAATTTGGTGCATGGGCTGCATTTGAATCCACCCAAACACTGTCTCCTTCGGTTGGTTCGGCAAGTATGGCATTATTGGTCAGAGATGATAAGTTTCTGTAGCGTGGATCAAAGCTACGGTAGTGTCCCCTGCATCTTCCTAAGGCTGTCATCGTTCACAGTATGGTCAAACCCATGCTACGTGACCAAACCTTAATTGAAATTCATATGATTCATATGCCACATCATAAATGAAATAATTTAGGAGGGAATATAAAATAATGGCATAATTAAGCAGACCTAACTCCTAAGTATAATTATCTATATCTATACTAATAATAAAAGGAAGCTAAATAAAAAAAATTTGATTGCCTATTATATCCCTATAAAAAATATTAAAGACACTTATATCCTTATTTATTTAATTACCTAATATTAATTATATATTCAAATGACTTTTCATATACTTTCATTTTCACAAGAATTATTGTTTCATGTATTGCACTTTTTTTAATTTTTTAATTACCTAATATTAATTAAATATTTAAATGACTCTTCGTATACTTCTATTTTCACAATAATTATTTGTCCATGTATTATACTTTTTTTTAATTTGTTGAGTTAATGATATTATCTCTCTTTCATTTACTTCTCATAAATTTTTTGTTTACAATAAATCTATTCATCACAATATATTCAATCCCATGAATTTCAATCATAAAGTAATAGTAATTCTATTCTATTCTTCTCTCATTTTCTCATACTCACATTGCATTATTGTCTTTTTCATATGATTTATATTTTGCTTGGAGCTAAGCTACACTAACATCTTAAAAATTTTCTTCTTGATTTGTTAAGTGCTTTTTTTTTATGAACAAACATGATCAATTGTGGAAGGTCACTGTGAAAATGGTATCTTGAGATTTTATTTACTCTAAAATCATATATCTTCTATGTTTTTAATTTTCATGGTAATATATTCAACTTTTGTTTAGCACTGAAACTCATTTTGCGTATTTAGCATTATATTTTGTGTAAAAAAAAAATTACGTGATTTTTCTCCAGCATTGAATAATTGAAATGAAATCTTTCTATCATGTGGATCATGATTCAACTAAGTTTTTTGAATTGCTCTAGGACACACTAATTTTTGACAACATACATTTTACCATTTGAATGTGGAAAAATAAAATTTTAGTATATTAATTATAAATTTTTGTAGGTAATTCTTTTTCTAGGATGTTCATGAAGTATATATGACGTTTCTTTTGAAATGTAATTTAATATTTGTCTTTCAGTAAATAATGAAACAATTAGTGTTCACCTGTTATTTGTTTTTATCATTGAAAATATGATAGTAAATTTTGAGGTAAACTGTTTCAAGCTTATCATAATATAAACATCCATTTGTTTGTTATCCTTTTAGAAATAATAGATATTAAATTTGGAGTAGACAATTGAAACTCTAATTTTACATGTTAATATATGGCTGAATTTGTTCATGACTTAAGTTTCACTAGATATTACACAATTTGATATTGAAAATGATCTACATTAAATGAACTTGTATACAAAAAAATAAATAAATATAAATTTGCATGTCTATATCTATATCTATATATATCTATCTATACTACTAATAAAATTACATTAAAATAAAAAATTTAAATTCATTATTTACCCTTATAAAAAATTTTAAATACCATATTTTCCTTCCATAGTTAAATATCATCATATCCTTAATATTTAAATCTCAAAAATTACCCTTAACATCTCTTTTAATTCTCTATTCTTTATATATCAATATCTATAAAAAAATTATTTGACTATGTTACCTTTAAAAATAAGTATTAATTAAAATATTGACAATTATTGTTATTTTATTCAATGAATTATAAGTTCAAATCTAATCAAATGAATTTCAAAATGAATTATTTTTATTTTTTTTTCTTATAGTTAGAACAACGAATCGTTAGGAACAGACAAAATTTATCAAATTCTAATACGAGCGATAAAAATATAATTTTTATAAACTTGAGATATTATTTAATTTAGGAACACATATACCTAAAAAATTTTATATATGAAAAATTATTCACGTGCAACGCACGTGGTGCATTGCTAGTATCTTTAAAGACACTCTCTCTTATTTAAAATATCATTGACACCACTTCTAATTTATATTTAAATATCACTAATACTCATGCCGTGAAACCACAATTTATAACAAAAACAAATCATCCAAAATACCAAAATAACCCTTACATAAACCCCAAATAATCTTTCCACATAAAATTCGATTAAAATTTGAGCCGATTAAAATTTATTTTTTTACATATTAAAATTTGAGCTGATTAAAATTCATTTATCTACATATTAAAATTCAAGCTAATTAAAATTCGATTTGAACTGATTAAATTTTATTTTATTACGTACTAAACTTCAAGCCTATTAAAATTCGAGCCGATTTAAACTCTACCTGAACTGTTAGTGCTTATTAAAATTTGTTTCTAGTCGATTAAAATATATATATTTTTTAAAAAAATTCTTGTCAATTAAAATTTGATTTAAGTTGATTAAAATTTAATTTTTTACGTATTAAAATTTAAATGGATTAAAATTTATATTTTTTTATGTATTAAAATTCGGACCGATTAAAATTCTATGTGAGTTGATTAAAATTTGATTCAAACCGATTAAAAATGAATTTTAATTGGCTCGAAGAGAATTTTAATTGACTCAAATTTTAATACGTAAAAAAATATAATTTTTAATCGATTCAAATTTTAATACGTAAAAAATAAATTTTAATTAATTAGAATCTAATTTTAATTACCCTGAATTTTAATACATAAAAAAATTTAAAAAATAAAGGGGGTTTCATTGAAAATATGTTTATTTAGAGAGGGTATGATTGAAGTTTTTCTTAAAATATATCATGGGTAATTTAGTAAAATTATATTTTAGTTAACACTTTTAATTTAACAAGGAGAGTTAGTAAAGATTCAAAAAATAAAAATTATGTCTTTGAAGATATGATAAATTAGAAGGGGTCTGATTGAAATTTTTTCAAAAAAAAAAAAAAAAAAATTTAGTAATTGGAAGTTTCACTTAAGTTTAAAAGTTACCATGTGTCAAATTGTATGATTCCATCAATAATAAGGCTTTTTGTCGTTTTGGCCAATGTGAAATTGACACATGACACTTGTTATGGACGGATACATGGACACGGTACCGATGGACTGGGCCTCTATGTGGCCCAAAAAACCTTTCTTGGGCTCAATATCTACATGGCGCGCTATTGATTTTTGCAAGTCGACTCTACTTAGTCTGGGACAGAGGGAGAAGTGCGGAGATTGACTATAAACAAGAAACTTCAACAAATCATAGATGCATGTCTGAGGATTTTGGGTGGTGAGAAAGAAAGAGAGGTGGTGAAAGAAGTGATGTTGATCTAAAGGCCCATGGGCTAACATCTGGCTATTAAATTTTCGGCTCAGCCTTGAATTTTTCTGGGCTAGGCTACTTATCACATGACATAACTAGGCCCATTCCTATCAAGGTCTTTAGTCCATAATTACCTCACTAGGGCTTGTCTTCCTTTGTCTTATAGAGGTGCCACCAATACTGAGTGGGGATCAGCCCAATTTGGTCATGACTTGGACCTAATTAAAGTGGCTTAACTTTTAGCCCATGTTGTTAATGGAAGCTATGCACATGGGAATTGGCAATAAGGGGTGCAATTCGGGCGGGTTAGAACCCCTATCCTAACTCAAGTCTCAACTCTATGTATAAAATTTTTAGTCTTAATCCTAACTCTAACTCGACCTCAATCCAAGATATTTAACCCAAATACTGCACAAGTTACTTTCAGGTTGGGCTCCAGTTAGCTCGAGTTGATAAATTTGGGTTCAATTCGGACGCAGCTGTACTTTGGTCTCTGCTGATTTTTTTTCTTAGTTGTTATATTTTTTTCCCCTTCAAATATCATACAACCAAACCACAACCAAAAACATTAAACTAGTAAATAATTTAATGACTAAAATTACATAAAACCCAAATTTGAGTCTTGCCCATTTCCTAACTTTAGAAAACCAATCAACAAAAATGATGAAATAGAAGAACACAAAATGATGAAATGAAGAACACAAAATGATGAACAAAGGTAATGCATAAGGTGAGAGGGTGAGTGAGTGAGTGCGGCTCTAAGTCGAAGCTGTCTAAGTGAGTTAATGGGGGTGAGAGGGTCTGGGTCAAAGTCGAGAGAGTGAGAGAGAGAGAGAGAGAGGCGATGAGACTGAGAGAGGTAGATGAGAGTGAGAGAGGCGATGAGTTATTGAGAGTTATTTTGTGAGAGAGAGACAAGAAGTGAAGAACGACGCAAGAAGGAAGAAAAAGAAGGAACCCCAGTACCTAAAGAACCCAAAGCTTATATATGTAAGTAGATATTCGGGTTCAGCCCGAGCCAGATATTAGGGTTGAGCCCAACTTCATAAATCCGGGTTGGGTTTGAGTTAAACCCGATAATCTGAGACTTCAATCCAAATACTGTCTGAATTCAATTCAGGTTGATTTTTTTGACTCCGACGTAACCCTAATCTCAAAAATCTTAACCCAAGTCTTATTTTTTTTGGGTTAACCTGTTCAAATTGTGCCCCTGATTGGCATAACTTCCATTAACAAGATGGGCCGAAAGTGGGCGTACAATGAATTTGATAGGGTACCTTCTTCATAGTCATAACTTCCATTAACAAGATGGGCTGAAAGTGGGCGTACAATAAATTTGATAGGGTACTTTCTTCATAGTCATAACCCATCTATGTCATTTTTCTCTAGTTTCTATTAAAAGTTATAACCCCAACTTACTGTCACATTATTATTTTTAAGAGGAGGGGAGCCTGGACATCAAGAAGACAAACAAGATAATGAGTACCATTTAAATTTAAAAATAATTTATTGATCTAATAATGTAGTAGTGAAGTAATCCAATAACATTATTATGACCATAACTCTTAGATATTTTTATTAAAATTTTGTCAGTTATCACATCATTAGGTTAATTTTTAATATTCCAATTGCATTACTCGTAACAATGGTGTAGAGTCAGTCAATCACTAGTATCAAGTTGGGTTTATAGTTTTTTAATAAAAAAAATGGGTTTTTCGCACTTTGTATTTTGAAAGATTTCAAGATTCTCATTTCATACTTTTAAAGATTAAATT